CGTTTTATGTCGGAAACATGCATTACCAGAGACTATTAGCTTTCCACCATGGTAATGAGAGAGTGCTGCCAGCTCTACCGCGTGGTTTATGTCACTAGAACTTCTTATATCTATATATACGTCCTCCAATGTGCTCGTGATTCAATACCAGTTAATGTATTAAAATGCTGGTGTAGACGAATTTTAAGATTTTCTCCCACAGCCTTATTTAATTTTATGATTTTCTCCAACTGCGCCCACAACACAGACGACCTCCTGTCAAGGGAATTATAAACTTGCTAACCTATGTACTGGCCATCATCCCACAAATGTACTCTCATCTTGTAGCTCTCGCCGACTGCGGTGACCCTGCATGATGTCGTTTTTAAGGATGTCGACTTTCCCCCCTCAGATTCCGAAGGTGATTTGGTAAGAACTCTGCTTTCTCTCAAATATTTCTTTACTTTTAACGGTAGACTAAGACCTATTCGACGCAGATGAAACGAACTCGAAAAATGGCGGAAAGAAAAGCTTGTTCAATCTAATTCTAGAAGAAGACCGACTCTGAAGTCATCGGAACGAGCTGCCCCGATACTTCACATATATCGGAAATCCTCATCCTCCTAAATAACCAACCGTTCCGAGAGCACACATTTAGTTCAGTAATGTCCTTCAAAATCGCTTAATCGTTCTGGAGCTATAGTTTTGTCTTTTTTTGCTTCGACGTCAAATTTGTTCGTTATGTTCTCCTTCGTTTACCTCTTCCGTTCCTTGAGCTTCACAGTCCTTTCAAAAAATTTTCCGGATTTCGTATATGTTCTGAGAAGTCTCATAGGTGGATTTCCTCGGCCTAAAACAATTCCTTGAATAAATAGTAGTTACTTTCGAAAAGGTTCCATTGCGCCCTCTAAAACCGTGAACGAGACTAAACTATGGGAATGTTCTTATCAAATGACAATTCAACTCCTCAAAATAATATGCAACTTAACCTATTTGATCTGATACAAGAATACCGATCCCCCTCCACTCCAGTGCTACAGGCAGCCTTGGACTATGTTCCAGGTCGATACATATTTCCATATCCTTACCCCCCCTCCTAACACTAACAATAGCCCTAAGTACTCCCGGAATTTAGTGCAACTCAACCTTTACCCCATTAGTGGGGGTCATATTTCCGTGTTCAGTCGTACGTTTTAATTTGGCCTTGTTACTTCCATCGTCAATAGTCTTGTACAGATTATAGGGTGTACTTTTTCAGTTTCAGTTTATTTGATGAGGCTAATAGACAATGCCTTTGAGAACCCTATTAATTACATGCCGGTGCGTCATACATTTGTACGTGCAGGCGTCAAATCGTCACTAATAAAATAGTATTGACAAACAGTGAGTAGCATTTATTATATAAATAAATCTTGCCTTGAAATAGTTTGTCTGATAATTTGTTTGCCTTGTCTAAACTTTGCATATTTGTTCAATTCTTAAACAGGAGGAGAATTTGGAAATTGTTAGAGTTTCGGTTGTTTAAAAACTCTAAAACTGTTTCCTGTACTGTGATGGGGAGGAGGAGCAGCATTGAATTTTAAAAAGCCTCGTATATGCATTGTGGTTAGTTTCTAATTGTACCTCAGGACTAATTACAACGTTGCGTTAACCTCTGCTTCTGATCTTAACTGCGGCAGGCCTGACTCCACGTTTGTCACCGCCACAAGACAAATAGCACGAGGTCGATATAGCTCGGATTTGGAGTTTGGTTTCATCACTATGAATGATCCAAAGTACTAATCTTCTTGGCTTTAAAAATTGTCAATTGATGGAATAACCCGGCTCGTCTCCTTTCTAAAGTTCATTTTGGAATGAATCCTTCCTAATGCAGCCTTCAGGACCTCTTTCCTCGTTGCAAGTTATCATTTGTAGTCTAATTAGCGAGCTTACTAGTATTGCAAGATCCCCGTAATCCTTTAAGTGGGCCGGTCAATAAAGTGGAGACCAGGTCATGTCTGGCACGCGTAGACACGTCTTGTCACCTCCTTCGTCCAGTTAAAAAAAATAATCGACAAACTCGGACTGTTTACTGGTGCACTGGTACTTATAATAAATCTGACGCATGCATCTATCAGGGACCGCCAAGACTCGTGGTTTGGTCCTCATATTGGGTCTAAGGGCTGAGAGTCAGGTTACAATAGACCATTCTTGGTGTGGCTTTTATGACGGCCGCATATATTTTAGATCCCAGCCACCTCTAAGGGTACCGCCTTTTACAGACGGTGGGAACCATAACTTATTTAATCCGTAGACGGTTTGTTTAGCACTGTTAGATGTCGCATTTGTCCCACAAGTCATACTGACACTGCCTTGCGATCGGAAGAAGATGGGTTGGAGAAACAAGTGCGATATATATTGTGCAAGCAACCTGTGTTGCGTGCCCACGCAGTGGACTTCGTCGCTTGCAACGATCAAACTGTAATACCCAACCCACATAGGGGATAGTCTTGCGTCTGTCGTCGTCCTTTCTCGATCCACTGTTTCTATTATAGTTAACAAGCGCGTAGAATCACTTGGGTGTCACTCATACGTGTTGTCATTCTAATATGCCTTCTAAAGGCGGGGGAAAAGTATTTAGCCGTGTTATAGCTTTGGCGATCGGTTGGTGTCTTGGGAAATTATGAGTGCTTCAAGGCCTCTTTCGGTTGCAGTCCATCCATCTCTTGGAATCCCACCGAGGCCACGG